TCCAGTCTCTCAAAATGGTCCTGTTCAGCAGTTTGCTTGCCCCAGGGTGCTTGGTTTTCTGGAAGCCTTTTTTCTTGCCTCCCAAATGATGAATGGGTTTATCTACTACAAAGGTCCTGAGATCGTTTAAGGTTTGATTCTTCATGATCTACCTGTGCAGCTGGGAATCTGACAGGTGAGAGTGGTGTGCATCAGAGTGGTACTGCAGCCAGCCCAAGCCACCCTACTGTAGTCATCATTCCAGCCCCCCCCCGAGACTCTGCTGCGTCAAACATCGCTGAGACACACTTCAATAAACCGCCAACAATGAAAATGACATTTTCTCTCTTGTTCAGTAGAGCTGTTGTTAAAAATTGGGGCTACAGATTGGGTTAGTTCCCTGAAGAGTGTTCTTACATATAAAAGACAAAGTAAATATGCAGCCAGGCAGTGGCCAGCTCTCTTCTACCTGAAATGCACCACCAGGCATTCCAGTCATGAGCCTGAAATTATTTTTTCTGGCTTTGAGCATCAAAACACTAACACAAATCACATTTTCTTGTTTTCTGACAAAGTTCTTTCAAATGACTACATAAACAGGAGAATTGACTTAAAAGAGACAGCTGAGCTTTGTTTCTTAAAAAAGTTGGCAGTCTGAAAAACAGCAGGTGGGGGAGGGTGAGCTCTTTGCTTTTTAGCATTTGCTGTTACTTGTAACAGTGGTAAATAAAAATCAGACCAATGCATAATTTATACTGATGGTGTTCATTTGAAAAATGTCCCTTAAAGCTTTGAAATGAGTCTACAACCTGATAATAAAAATGGGAAATCAACTTCATTCACTTACAGGGAACAAGGCTACTTCAGGAAAACCAACTTTGTGCTTGTCCTCCTGTATCTAGTATAGCCCTTCCCTAAAATCACGCAGTTTCCTCTTCAGTACCAAACCAATCAAAACCACAACTTGGTTGCTGCTAATGACACTTTTCTGAATACCAAGCCTATCCATCCACTTGGGGAATGCATATTACAAAAATCCCAGCTGCAATATTCCATATTAGGCAATCTTGGCCATATTTCCAAGTAATAATTAACCAGCCAAGTCTCCAAAGCCTGTCCATTCAAGTCATAGCATCTTCTCATCTACCAGGAAACCACACAAGTGTGCTGTAAAGGAGGATTATTATGTATTTGAAGGGATGGGAAACTATAAAGCGTCTCCAATTTCTGGTAGTCTTTTCATAGATTGTTTCCTTAGCTAAGACTACTTGCAGAAAAACCCTGAACACACAGTAAGGGTATCTGTTAAGCTTTCATCCTCAATTTCAAAAATGGACTGACAATTAAAATAATTTGTGAGAGTCATGAGTGAGCTAGTTGCTTTTTTAGACTGAAAGATTCTCTTTTGACAGCATTGCAAAGTCCATATTTATTTTTGGCCCCTTGGCTGATGAATTGACCTCCGTTTAGAATCTGCAAATATAAATAGAATTGACGCTTTAATGATCAGTTTTCACAAGCTGTTATAACCCAGCATCTCAGGCATTAATATTGTTCCAAATCTGGATGCACGGGGCACTTTTACAGCTGCCGTGTTTCTGTAACATTCAAGTTCCCAGGGAGGCTGCCTGAAAATGTGAAGTATCTGATAGAAATTAGTGAAGTGTTGTCTCTCTGAAATGCCATAAGGTGGCAGCGAATTGGAAAATTGGTACAATTTCTGGGTAGAACAAAGCTTTAAGGAGCTCAGTAGAAGAGGAGGGGAGGCTGTTTGTTTGTTTGGGGATTTTCAGTTGTCTATTTACATTTTATATACCACCATAAACTTCAATCTGAATAGGTCTGCTCCAACATTAACCAATAGACATGTTCATGTGCAGGGAACTCCTGGTTTTTCTTTCTCCATTGTTCCTTTTCAGGTGATCATTAGGAATATTTTCTGTTTGATTACCTTGCAGCTCTTGCTGGGTCATTCCACCAGAAGCCATGGTGACAGCGCTACCTCCTCTAGCCTGATAAGGATGCAATCATTCAAGGCTGTTTTGAACTTTGCTGCACTAGTGAATCAAAACTATATTAATGGATCTACCACTCTTGTATCTCATTCCTTAATATTGCCAGGGCAATTACCCACAGAGCAATTTACAGAGATATTGTAATGGCTTGTCCCTTGTTTGAGTGGCATGGGCAAACTCAATATTAATGGTTGAACTTTAACTTTGCTTTTTTTCCCAGTGGAAAATCAGAGATTGTAACAGTAACAAATTTACTGAGTGCCCAGGCGTTAATGATTAAACAATAAATCCTGAAAAGTGGTTTTGATTTTTGTGCCAAAACAAAACCCCAAGGAATCTATGTTCAGAACGTACCAGTTGAATCCATGTTTCTGTGCAGGACAGAAGTTTTTAATCCTGAGAACCCAGTATTTTGCAATCATTTCCTGTCACAAAATATGTCATCACCAACAATTGCTTCAGAGGACAGCTGATGTTTTGCTGATCTGGATGTGCGTAGGTGCACCGAGGCCTTGCAAGACTCCAGGTAAGTTTGCCAAAACTGATAAAGCCAAGTGGTCTCAACACTTTAATGTAGCAGAAGCTACAGAGAACTTCCGTATTCCAAGTTTGCAGAGGAGTTGAATGAGCAGAGACACCAAATACAGGTTCATGGCAACATTGCGACACTAGAAAAACGTCAGTGACTCAGCAGGAAAATCCATCCTTCTGTGGAATTAAGTCCTCCCTGCTGGTCTTCTGCACAGATTTAAGGTCGGTTTTACCCACTGACTCTTGACAGAGGCATCAAGTTTCCCATTGTGCCAGGAGAACATCTTGTCCAGTTTGAAGGTTTCCCTTGCCCCAGCATTTGTTTGACCACGCCCTCTTCATAAATAACCCTGGAAAACCATGTTGTCCAGAAGTTCTGTCAGTCTAATGAGCTTTTGACAAGTCTTCCAGGTATTTGCTTTCTGTAAAGCAAAATTTATGCCCATTTCCTCAGGCATCTGAAAGACTTCAAATTAGAAAAATTATTGGACTCTTCTGTGTATATCATCTTGCTCAGTCAAGCAGCTCAAAACTGACATCCCTTTGCTTTCTCTATACTACAGTATTGGTGGAAGGGCCCATGAATGTCCCATGCTCACCATTACCCTGTCTCCCAAATCAACTTCGAAACTGGCTGTTGAAACAGGAGACTTTGAAAGCAGAGTTAAATCCAGCCTGATTCCTGAGGCCTTCAGTTCCTTCAAGAAAATCTTGTAGGGCTAGGAAGCCTGAAGTGGAGCCCTGGGATTAGGACTACTCTTTAGCTGGATCTTGGTAGATGCATGGGAGAGGCATGGCAGGGGAGAAGACTCAGGCTGGGTTTCCAAGTTGTCACAGTGACCTAGAAGTTGTACAGGGAGCCAAGCAAAGCAGCCAACAAAGGAGATTTTTCTCTGTATCCTCCTTCAGATAGCTGGGGGATGTTGCAGCAGAGTGATGAGGTTTATTGTGCCTTTTCACAAATGCAGGAAGAGGATTCACTAGTTCCTATTGAAATAGTTTTTGGAAAGAAAGCATCGCACATCGTGCAGGTTGCCAGCAGAAGGAGAAAAGGCTGTTGGAAATAGACATTTACATCACCAAAGAAGCAAGGAACCCAGAAATACGCCTGGTGAAGCCTGGCTGGGATGCTGTCCTCGCTGGAAGGGCTCCCTGCAGACTGAAATTACCATCCTTAACTGCGCTGAAATGCTCTTGCTGTTGCAGCTGTTTTTACCCTGGCTGAAAATAACTCCATGGGTACAGGTCTCCCCAGGACAGCCAACCCTGTGAGGGAGAAAGAGGATGATAGTGCTTGGTGGGTTAGAGCCAGTCTTGGTGTCTGCAAGGCAAACTGTGCAGAGCATGGTATGTCTGCAGAGAGGGAGAGCAAAATGGCTGAATAGAGCTACGAAACCTTGATCATTCTACATCCATCAGCTACAGCACTGAACTTGCACTGTTGTTGTATGTCTTGCCTACGAACTGGGGATCTTTAGTTTGCAGCCCGGAATTGAAGGTGGTGATTCTCCTCAGACGACCTGGGAGAAAATGCAAAGCTAATTAGGAAGTGGCCAAAAATGTAACAGTATTTTCATTTTGTTCACTGAGTTTTTGCCAAGTGCTCTAATTGATTTAATGATCCCCCTTCCAGGCTGCTCACTAATCACCATCGCACACTACTTCCTTCATCTTTGGCTGGCAAATGGTTACTAATTGTTGCTGCATCTTGCATTGTACATCTGGTGCTGACACCTGTCCTTACCCTGAGATGGAGACACAGCTGTTTTTAAAAGGAGAGCTCTCTCCCAGATCTCTAAAACATCTGGGAAAATATGGCATTGAAACTGAATTATCCAGTATAAAAAAATTAGCAAATATGTGGACAGGCTAGAGGGTTTGCCAACACAAAGCTTAAAAGTAGGCACAGGAAACAACAGAAAAGACTCACCACTGTGTCTTTAAAACATGAGTCCTGAGTGTTCCCATAAAGTATGCTTATTTCCCCTAATTCCCTGTAGACTGCTTGACATGGCAAAATCTTTTATACTCTGTATAAGAGAGCACATCTCCTAATTTGATCAGACTAATAACCCATGTTGCTTTTTCTTCAGCCTATTAGACATAATTCAAAAGCCTTTCTTAAAGGTAGGATTCAGGATCCCACAGCAAGATCTAACTGGCTGGAGACAAGAAACCAGTAGCATGAAAGCACCAAAAAGCCCTAGAAATCAATGGAAACAATTCCATTCCTTAAAAAAAAATAAAACAACAAATCTCTTCCAGAATCTCATTTCCTCCTGAACATTTTGTGACCGTGATTGTTGCGAGCAACCTATTTTTCCCCCCCTCCCTGTTTATTCTGTGTATTTAGCAGCACTGAACGTACAGTCCATTGTTTTGCTAATGGTCAGCAAAGCTTATCTCCTGATCGAGCCCAGCCGCTATCGCTCACATGCTGTTCTGCAAGATTTGGATGAGCATTCCTCTCAGACCCTGCAGAGGCTGCAAGCCAGCAGAGTGAGCAAGGCTGAACTCAACAGGCAACAATGAGCAGGCACGTAAGGACACAGAAAGGAAATGGGTGAGCTTAAAGCAGGTTAGAATGACTGGAGCAGCAGTCACTCCAAATGACCCCTAAGGAAAGAGCCCGAAAGAAAAAAAGGCCTGGTAGGATTAACAATGCCTTTTTATAAAGGAGTCATTTCAGGACATCTGACTTAAGGGAAGTGCCACATTTATGTATTTTTAATTGGACTGGATTTAAGCCATATCAAGCTGATGATGCCGTTCTGAGTTCAAAAGGACATTCTCTTTGCCTCATAGCATGGGAGCAAGGGGACAATGCAATTAGCGGGAAAGGCGGCACTTTCAAAAGCAGTAGAAGGAATTATTTTTAAATTAAGCAGCTATTGTATATTCCATGTATTTAAAGTAGCAGTGTCTTCTAGTCACTGGAAGGTGACTACCACTGTTTGGGTAGTGGCCAACATCACGACTGGAGGAACAGTGGATCAGGTGGTGGAGCTCGTTCATTCTGGAGTCCTCAAACCTCTGCTCAACCTGCTCTCAGCCAAGGACAGCAAAACTATCCTGATCATCCTGGACACCATTTCAAATCTTTTCCTGGTAAGACCTCTTATCTCTTGAATTCCTTCCCCCAAAAGAGCAGCAGGGAGTGAGTGAAGTGCTCACACTGTGTGGTTAGAACAGTGCCTGTTGATTTTTGGAGTAAGAGACAGACTTCACATTGTCTAAATTGTTCTTGGGTTGTCCAAAGAACAATCTTCTCCAGGAGATGATTCTAGTTCTCAAGTGGGGTTGCTCTTAAACTTCCCCTAAAGGATCCTGTCTCTTCTCCACATGTGTGGAAGAACCCTAGAAAGACCTGCCTAGTAAGTGGCCTCTGGGGTAAGAAGCCTCCCACTAGGTGACAGAAAGAGAGTTATATTTCTAACTGGACTCTGAAAGTCACTGATGCAGGATATCACCTACAGGCAAGAACCTGGATAATACCCCTGAAATAGGTAATACTGAACCCCATTTTTGGTAAAGGGTATGAAACATGCTGTTTGAATTCAAATCACTGTCTACGTATGGACATATGGGAACATTTGTAAAATGCTCTGACAGATCTTGCCCTGATCACAGTCAGGAGGAAGATACTGAACTAGAAACCAGGGACTGAGCTGTTTGGCAATCAAGGATCATCTCCTCAAAGCTCAAGAGTGGTTCATCCTGACAAGAAGAAAATCAAGCAAAAATCAAGTGGACATGGATGAGCACAGATGTCTTGACTAAACTCTGGCATAAAAAGGAAATGCACAAAAGGTGGAAACGGGTAGGTGACCCAGAAGGAAGGTTTACTGATGAGAATGTCCTTCAACAATCCCAGGCCCTTGAGCAAGGGGCCCAAAAGTGCTGAGGAAGCTGAATAATGTAATTCCAAAGCCATTCTTTGAAAGATCACAGTGACCAGGAGAGGTTCCTGAGGCCTGGAAGAAAGCCAAATATCACTACTATCTTCAATAAGGACAAGAAGGAGGATCTGGGAAATTACAGTCTGGTCAGCCTCACTTCAATCCCTAAAAAGGCAATGGAGCAAAAAATCATGGAAACCATTTCCAAATACATGAAGAACAAGGGTATCAAGTGTAGTCAGCATGGATTTACAAAGGAGAAATCCAGTCTAACCAACCTTTCACAGCACAATAACTGGCTCGGTGAATGAGAGGAGCGCAATGATGTTGTTTGCACTGAGTTTAGTGTGAGGCTTTTGACAGTGTCTCCCACAACATCCCCATAGACAACCTGACAAACTATGGGTTACATAAGTGGACTGTGAGGTGGATCCAAAAATGGCTGAATGGCCGAGCCCAGAGTGTCATGGTCAGCAGCACAAAGTCCAGCTAGAGGCCAGTCACCAGTGGTATATCCTGTTACTAGGTCTTATACTGTTTAACAACTTCATTAATGAGCTGGATGATGCGGCAGAGTACACCTTTGGCAATTTTACAGATTACACAAAGCCGGGAGTAGCTGACACACCAGATGGTGTGCTGCCATCCAGAGCAACCTGGACAGGCTGGGGAATTGGTCAGAGAGGAATCGCATGAACAAAGGGAAATGCAAAGTCCTTGCACCTGGGGAAGAATAACCCCATGCTGTACAGGCTGAGGGCTCTGCAAAGGAGGACCTGAGGGGTTCTGGGGGACGTCAAGCTGGCCACGAGCCAGCAGTGTGCCCTCACAGCAAAGACAGACAGCAACATCCCAGGCTGCATCAGGAAAAGCACGGTCAGTAGGTCATGAGAGGTGATGTTTCCCCTCTACTCAGCACTGGTAAGGCCTTCTTTGTCCTGTTCTGGGCTCCCTAGTGCAAGAAAGAGAGAGGCTTACTGGAGCGACTCCAGCAAAAGACCAAAAAGATGATTAAGGGACTGCAGCATCTCTCTTATGAGGGAAGACACAGAAATCTGGGAGTGTTCAGCCTAGAGAACAAAATGCTCAGGGGGAATCTCATCAATGTGTACAAATATATGGTGGAAGGGAATGAAGAGGAGGGAAATGGGTGCCCGCTGACAGATCAAGGTGCAGTAGGCACTATTTAAAACACATGAAACTCTTACCTGAATACCAGAAAACACCCTTTTTACTGTGAGGGTAGTCAAAGACTGGAGCAGGTTGCCCAGAGAAGTTGTGGAGGATGAGTTCAAGGCCGGGTTGGATGGAGCTTTGAGCAAGATGGTCTAGTGGGAGTTGTCCCTGCCCATGGCAGTGGGGTTGGAACTAGCTAATCTTTAAGGTTCCTTCCAGCCTAAATCATTCCATGATTCTATCTCTGGAAATATACAAAACCCGACTGGACGTGGACCTTGGTAACTGGGTGTAGCTACACTCTGTGAATAAGATGATGTTGAACTAAATGATCTCCAGAGGTCCCTTCCATCCTCCACAATTCTGATTCTGTGATGATCCTGCCATCCACTACAGTAGTTCCTAGTGTCCTGTATGCTCTCATTTCTTAAGTGTTTCACTGATTTTTCCCTGAGGTAATTATAGACATTACTTGTGTAATTAATTGCACCGAATGCATATACCTCTGAGGATGAGGTGGTTATGGAGAAACCTGAACTTAACAAAATAGTCAGAGGAGTTGTCCACAAAAAACATGAAGGATCTGGGAATCATCATTCTGTACACATGCTTTCAGCAAAATAAGCAAGGTCTGGGGAGATGGAAGCTGACAGAGTGCACAGGGCAGGGTCAGATGGGACATGGGAGAGGAGAGACATATTACAGCCAGTGCTGAATATGGTGCAGAGGAACTTCAGTTTTATTTTCCAGTCTATGGGAACCAGTGCCACATGGTCTGGGCAGTTTGGGTGGTGGTGGTAAAATAAAAGCCCTAACACTGCATCAAAACAGGGTACCAAGCACGGACACATAAATCAGAGGCAGTATTTTCAAACTGCACACCCAGAAAAGGGAGAAAACGCAATCAATGACCATCCAGGAGAAGTCTGATTTAAATGACCACCCAGGAACTCTGAAGCACAGGCAGCTCTCCAGGGCAGCAGTCCACAAGCTGAACCATGAGCCTGTCCTTTCTCCAGCTGTGTTCCCAGTCTCCTCCACAGCATGGTCCCAGTGTATTTTATGCACTAAGGCAGGATGCCATTAAGAAAAAAATATGTAATCATGTAATTAACGCCTGTCTCACAAGAGAAGATTAGAGAAACATTTGTCAAGAATCATCTAGGAATAATTATTTCTTGCCTTGAGAGAAAGATATGGACTGGAGTCCCCAGATGGCTCCCTGAGGTCCCTTCCAGGCCTCTTTTCCGCAAAGTCATACATGCCAAAATTAAGCCAAATTAAGTTTCCACACATTATTTTAATTTCAGCCTTCTGTAACTTCTGAATGCTTGATTTCAGAGCCATTTTGGCACAGATTACTGCGCTCTGCTTTAGAGGATCCCAGTGAGTTTGCTTTAAAGTCAACTCAGCAAAGATGCCATGATACGCAAATCCACAGAGTTCATTAACAATCCTGTTACAGACTCACCACAAAGACCTCTTCCAGGGATCAGGAGAAGCAACCCAAGTGACTGTGTCCTCTCCAACTAGTGAAAGTTATGGTGGGAGTAGGAAGGGATGGCTGTGCTGCTAGCTAGCACCAGAGGCTTGTCTTTCAGATCCACATCCTGGCAGCAGGTGAGATGAGAGTCTAAGGACACCTGGGCTCCTTTCCAAACTCTGGAGAGCAATATGTGCCACCAGGAGCTTTCTGCTTGTTTCTGTCCATGTTCTCCCTAATCCAGACCCTTGAAAACAAACAGCTCCTTTGCTATCTCCTCTGCTCCCTGCCCCACCACTGTCAAGTCAGGGTCTCTCCTCTCCCCACCCTTGCCTCCACTAATTGCATCCCACCTCAAGTCATGCCCATATCCTGCCTCTCTCCCCCTCTCAGCCACCTGGCTTGTCCTGCTATCACACATTTTTTTCACTCCTGCTCTTTCCCCTACTCCCTCACATTTTTTGCCCAACAGCTGCTTCCAAACCCTGAATCTTCAGTGGCCTTTTCTCTATCCTTATCCCTGTTCACTGTTGACTCAGAAAATTATGCTCCCCATCTTCCTGCCTCTGCTCCAGTCACACTGCCTCCCCCTCTTACACCACCTCGTCCCCCAGCCATTCCAGCCCCAGCCACAGCTTCTTCAAACAGATTTACCATTTTTCTCCCACGAGTGGCTTTCACAACCACTTCTTCTGCCATGCTGCTTCACTGCCAGCGTGGTGGTGATTGCCTTAATGAGACAAACCCCACTTTGCTCTCAGCCCAGTGCACTCTCTTACAGTGGTGATGTCAAGGACTGGCAGGTGTGGTGGGCTTGGCCACCACCTGTGCCCAGCCTAGGGGCAGGGTGCTCCAGCAGCTGTGAGGACATGGAGCACACTCAGCTTTTCAGGGATGATTTGGGGGATGGCTGTTTTCCACAAAGTGCTAATATGCTTCCATAGACCTATGTGGTCTGTGACTTTTCAAAGTCATAAAGCCATGCTTTATGTCCAGCTTGGATGGCTTTTGTCAAGACCCATACAAAATGGATTTTCAGTTCGTATGGCGTGGGGGAGATGAAGTGTCTCACACAAAAAACTAAGACGTGCCTAAAATGGGACAAATGCATTTTTGTTAGCCTTCTTCTTGGAAATGTCCTGAATCACTTTCATTTTAACTTTTCAGCACTCTCAGCATGAACATTTTGGTAAATGCCTAAGCTTTAAGAAAATTATAAGCAAGTGAATCCAAGGCATTTTTATAGGAAATGCTATGCAGCCCTTAAATGCAGGGGATATTATGCAACCCTGTGCATAGGAATGTTAATTGTTAGATAATGCAATCATAACCTATTTCACTTTGCTTTTCTCATTCCCATTCTCACCAATTATCAGAATCTGATAATTACTGTATACTCTGGATCTCTAACATTTTACTCTTCATTGGAGACCTTTTTGCTGCAGGATAAACTCCTCGTTATCTGGAACATCCCCTGAATTAATTTATTGCATTGGTTACTGCTGAGTCATAAAAATAGTGGTATTACACTGGGGACTTAAGTCATAGACAGTGTTAAAGGAGCAATCTGCTTGAGCAGCTGAATTAATCTGAGCAACATCCTTCTCAGCACTGTGTCATGAACTTCTCTTTCACTGATCACTTTGTTTTACAAAACTGATATTCAGGTTTATTAAAGGAATTTCTGTTATTCTGGGCTTGAGCACGCTTGCTGAGTTGCTGAAAAAAGCCACCAGGTTTGTGTTAGAGGTGGAAATCGCTGTGCTCTTTCTCACAGACACAGAAATCAGCAGAACAGCTCTTGCTGCCTGAATGGCACGAGCAAATCAATGTCTTCTATCTGTTTTGGTCAGCCCAGCATTTCTTTTATGCTCTACAGGTAGGTTATAAACTTGCAAACCCAATGAGACAGTGGAAATTTCCCTGTAATGAAAGCATGTCTCTCAACACTTCCAGGCATGTTGCGGCAGAACAAAGCTGTGACCGGTTCTTTCATCTGCCACCCTAAGGGTAGGAAGATCTTTAGAAGTCAATGTCTCATTTATGACTGTGCATTAGAATAGCTTAAACTGGTCACGGAGGGAAATTATTTTACAATAATCCTGTAAAAGGAGAGACAAAATCTCTGTTGCTCAGCTGTTGGCCGCACAGAGCTTGGCACCCGTCCTGAAACCTGATGAATAATGTTGGAAACGATATTGTTCCTAGATTTCCAGCTGTACCAGAAGGTAGGTGGTCAGTGCAAAACCTACCTTGCCTCCTGCTGCTGCTGCAAGATTGATGCTGTCTGGATCAGGGGGAGGATAGCCCAATTCTGCAATATAAATAGGCCCCTGCTGTGTCCAGCATAGAGGCGTCATCTCTCCTTGTAGGACTGTGGCCCCCCTGCAGCCCAGGGTCTGATTGCATGGCAGGGCACTCATTTTTCCCAGTGGAAAGCTGCAAGAGGATTTTTTTTATTTAAGTGCTTTACCAGAAGTATCTCACATGCTTGTGGGGTTGTTTCTAATGCTGTCATTATCCAGAAAAATCTTTGCTTAGTGGTAGAAATCTCATACTTGCTTCAGCAGATGCTTGGATTGCTGATGGGGAACAGGGTTCTTGTCTCTCTCTAAGTGATTGTCAAATTCCAATTATTCTAGACAGTGGGATGATCCACTGGGAGAGAAAAGTGGGATGTTTTCCCTGTGTGTAAGGACACAAACACCTGCATGAACATGCAGAGAAGTATTCAACTCACTAAAACTAGCTGTTGTGAACAAACCATCCACATACAGCAACTCATGACTATTCAACAGCAAAAACATTGGTCTCCACTGTTGATACCCCAGATTGTTGTCTGAACTCCTTCTCCACCTTCTCCAGCCTCTCACTCACTTATTCAAGAGGGCATTTGGGATTCTCACTGATATCCAAGACCTGCTATCTGAGGAAGTTAACCAGGGCCCAGCTGGGAGCATCAGCTCTTGTTTTCTTGTTCTCTGATGGGTCAACTGGTCTCTTAGGGTGAGTGGTGAAGCACTCAGAGCCAGTTTTGCAAACATACAGTGAAGAAGCCTTGATGCAGCTCAGGGAGGTGGTCTTGTGTTCACCTGAATGACAGGTGCCAGGGAGAGACAGAAGAGACCGTGGTTTTTCTCTCTGAGATGAGCATAACAGTCATTAGAAGAGACAAGGCTCTTGACTCCCAAGTTTTGTCTTCAAGTAAATTAGACCCCATGTCATCACTGGGTACACTTTGTTGTTGTTGGGTTTGTCTGCTTTAAAGGCTTAATTCAGATGCACTCAAGCAGCTGTGGCCTTAGGCAATGAGGCCTGGGAGCTTCTTCCCATCAGAAGGTGGTGTTTAGCCCAGGGTTTCATATTGTGGCACAGCAGGTACCCAGTAATGCTGGGCTTCCAGGAGCGGCAGAGCCTGCCTCCCCCATTGACTGCAGCGGGCTCCTATCAGGTATTAGGAGAACTAGGAAAAAGACCTCACCATCAGAGAGTTGCGAAGAACAGATTGCAGAAGCAGGATGAGCACTAAATGTGTTTTTGTTACTGGCATGAAAAAGGCTGTAATAGCGAGGAAATTAAAAACTGATCTTGCCAAAGTGTAATTCACCCTCAAATGAAAGATTCACCTGTCAGAGGAAAGGAAGCCTTTATCCACCACCTAGATTTGAGGACTGTTCCAAAAAACCCAACTAAAACCCAGCTGCTTTCAAACAAGGGCTTGAATTTGCTGTAATCATGTACAGAGTATCCCACTGTTCATGGATCTGCCTAGCACTGCTGTAAATTCAAGGTGCGATTGCATCAGCTAATATTATTCCTGCCGTTCTCTTTGGTTTGAAATATCACCCGACTCATTTGGGTTAGATACGAGATGTAATTGCCTGGAAACCAGCACACAACTCCAGAAGGGTGCCTTGCTCATTATATTCACCTTGTCCAATAAAACATCCATGCTGTTCCTGTGTTGGATCGTGTCATCAGGACACTGCAGAGGGCGAGCTTTCATTTTTCCTTCCTGTGAACCCCTTGAGAGGTACCAGGGGCTTTTTATAAGGAGCTCAGGTCATTATAGGTTTTCTAAGTCATGGGAAACTCCAAGAAATAAAAGCTTTTCAGGGTTTCCACACTCGCCAGGCAGAGATGCACCTCTCAGCAATTGCAGGAAGTGTGTTGAAAGGTAACACGGATGGTCAGGCCTTGTTCTGTGCTAGTATATTAAAATACTGATGGTAAATCTAGCACCCAGTGGGTGCTGGGAACCCCAGGGACATTGCAGACTTGCAGAGAAAACTTCAGCTTCCTGATGGCCTACAAGAATTTTGCCTGCTTCTGGCCTGCCTTTCTGATGTCCTGACTACCGATGACTATTTCTTCTCATGGGCTCTCTTTCCAAAGGTGAGCGTGATCTTGTCCCAGCATCCTGCCAAAGTCTTTATAAACTCCTCTGCAGCTGGGGGCAGGGAGCAGTGTATACAGTGATCCTCACATGGCTGCGAAGGCACACCAGGGCTCTCCCTCCCTGCAGACAGAAAGGGGATGAAATAAGTATGAGCTGCTAGAGGGAACTAAAAACAGAGAGTCTCTTCTCCAAGTAGACCAGGGATCCTGGGAAGAAAATGCCACATTCTTCATCGGCATGTAAGAGAGTAGGTTGGAGAACGGGAAGGAAGAACAGCTACTAACTACAAGACAGCACTGGCATGAGAACAAGTAGACAAAAATAGGCTATGAAAAAATGTGGGCTGCAAATGAGAAACAAGTTTCTTTCTGTCAAAGTGAGGTTCTGGAATAACCTGCCAAGAAAATTCCCAATGAGTCTTAAGATGGACTGTGATAAATTAACAAGAGGGACTTTATGACTCAGTGCTTGTCACTGCTGGGAAATATGACGACTAGGAGATCCCCTCTAGCCCCACATTCCTGTTGGTATGATAACAGAGGAATCTGTGTAGGGTGCAATAAATGCTGAATCACAGAGTGCTTTATCTAGCTGCCTGACAGGACAAAGTCCTTCACACCCGTCCTGTCTTCAAGAATCTCCAAAAAAAAACCCAAAAAACAACCAACCAACCAACCCAATCCCCCCCAAAAAAAAACCAACAGAACCCCCACAACATAAAAACCCCAACCTTATGTAAATGATTGTGCTCTGACAGCACAAAGCATACAGCTACCAGTGCCTGAGTTAGAAGAAAACCAGCTGAGCTGCAGGCTCCTCTACACAGGGGAAAGGTGGTGACATGGGTTTGAAAGCAAAAAGCCTCCCTGTAAACAGACGGGTACACACTCCAAGGTGAATGAGCTCCAGCAGCTTCAGTACACAGTTTTAATGTGGGAAAGAAACTCAGTTCTTGGAACCATGTGGTGCTATCCCATGCACTTGCTCAGCCAGGTGTGTGCAGGGATCACGTCCACAGGGCACGACCATGTAATGTAGCGGAAAGTTCCTGCAGTTAACATCAACTGCTAAAACATCCACAGTTCTCCCGCTGTCCCAGGATACTCAATTCTTTTGATGGTGTTTTCTTTCCTGTCTCCTAGGAGTTCCCCAAGGATGAGATCACTTTCTGCAGCACAAGGCCAGCAACCGGGATGCAGCTTACACTGATGCCTCACAACTGGCTATTTACAGCATTGCCACTCTGGCTCTGAGAGCAGACCTTGGGGCAACAGCAGCAGCTGCAGTAGTACATAACGAGAGGTAGAGGCCAAGGAGAAGACAGCCACAAAAAACTGGGAAAGGTAAGAGGCCCGGTTTCTGGGCTCAAGAGGAGAGCACTTCTCCACAGCCCTCATGGCTGTTGGACTCGAGGAAGACTTCTCTGAGGCTTCTTCCAGACCTGTGGAGGTCATATAGATGTGGGTGCTTCCTCACCTTCTCAAAACCTGCAGCACAGACTACTTTGAAGCCATTGGGTCTCTCTCTGCTGCTCCCCACTGCGCCACAGGAGCATACCTGCACCGATGTGGCACCACTCTACACCACTGTCTCCATGGCTTGCACAGTCTGGTTACTCTGGGCCAAGGACACCTGAGAGTTTTCCCTCTTGCAGTACTTTCAAGCACACATTATTTCTAACAACTGCCCCTGGTATCAAAGCTCAGAGCAAGAGGTTCCCACAGACTCCAGCTGCTTACACCAGTACATGGCAGGGGGGAAACTTCCGCACCAACAGTCAGTACTACTCTTGTCCGAGAGAACCTGGCTTAATCCCTCTCTACCATAGCTAACAAAGCTCTTTTTTTTTTTTTTTTTTTTTTTTTTTTTAAACCAGGCAGCTCAATCGCAATCAAGACCAATTTTGTTATTTCCTAAACAGCGGCAAGCTGACAGGGTAACAGAGGCAGACTGAGCAATGGCAGGTGGTTGTGGCACAAGAGCCTCAAGGCTTCCTGCCTTCCCGGCTCTTGCCAAGCTCCAGCAAGCAGGCACAGAGAGACGTCTCATACCAGCTGTGACGTGTCCCTTCCTAAACAGCCAGCAGCAAGGAAAGGGCCCAAAACTGAAAACAGGATTTGGGGTGTGGCTTCATCAGTGCCGAACACAGGGAGATGATCACTGCCCTAGTCCTGCTGGCCCGCACTATTTGTGCTAGTGGACACTCTTGGCATCCACACACCGTGCAGTTTTCAGGTGGTTGCTGCTGGACACCACACAGAAAAGCAACTGCCTCAAATTCCAGTGATGAGTTTCCAAATAAACCATAGGTGCAAAGTTCTCCAGAGAGTTTTTTCTGCATTCATTTGTGGATTTTAAGTTAATTTTTATATCGGCCGCTTCCAGGTAGGATCATGGTTGATCATTTCCTTTGACCTTGCACCAGCATTTCCCAGCCCCAGAGCAAAGTGCTGTTCTAAATATGCTTGGGGGGGTGGGGAAAAGTGGTTTTGCCCCATATTTAATAGGGTCCCTAGAGCATCCCTGTCCCACCCCGTTTTCCCAGTGTGGGGATGCCGTGGGATGCACCTCGTGGGGCACTTGATATTTGCCGGCGCACCCGGTGTGGCAGCAGCAGCACCTGCTGCGAGCACTGCAGAACTGCAGGCGGATGGGAGGCGATGGGGACAGAGCTCCCGAGTCCCACTGCAGGGAGCCCCCGGGTTTGCCCTGCACAGTTGGGGGACCCCCGGTCAGTGCATTTCAACAGCGAGGCCAGAGCCGTCAGTGCTCAGACAACTGTAAAAAAAAAAGGTTTCTCTTAGCAAAAAGTGACCAAAAAAAAAAAAAAAAAAGGGATTACCTTCTGTCTGGAGTGTTTCCATTTTAGAAGCAAAGAGGAGCGGTGGGAATATTATTCCTCGTAAGACTATTGGATTTGGTGATGTGCCCTTGATGCGAGCTTGGAAAACAACAGAGGCAAAAGGGGGAAAAAAAGGGGACACAGAGGTGAGGGATTCCACCATTGTAATGGCTAATAGAAAGGGCAGTGCTAACATGCTTTGTTCAGAACTGGGATTGGGATTCCTCTGAAACCTGCCTTTTTAACAAAGTCTTTCTCCAGAGGGTTTTTATTGCACTGAGTGTCAGGTCCCAGCGTCCTGAACTCCGGTGGAGGCAATGATATGCTGAAATGCTGTCACAAATATCCCCAAAAAGGCATGCACACTGGATTTACTGTTCTTGGTAATTCTAAGATAAAAATTAAACAGAGCATATTAATTTAAACAAACCTTATTCCAACTACATCATCCATACAAAGACATACAGAAGGGCATAAGCCCCAGAAAACAAGGTAAAAAAAAGGAAAAACTTTTTCATATCCTCCTTTACAATTGTTAGCTTGCCTTTCTCTTCAGCTCTGACCTGAGTCTCACCTACGACCATGCACCTGAACTACACAAAATGCAAAGACATCTCCTGGGACATCACCTTTGGACACCATTTTCTCACTCAGATGCTACAAAAAACCCACCAAAATCCAAAAGGTTCCTGTACAAACCCCACCCCATCATCCTTGCTTTGCCTGAGAGCAACATGCCCCAGGTGAGTGGCAACCTGGAACTGCTTCTCCACCTGGCTGGATGTGATGCCAGTGAGAGGCTCTCCATCGGCAGCCTTGGGGGAAGGAGTCCTTTCTCTGTACCTATGCTGTGTGCAAGAAGCCATGTGTGTTCGTGCTGCTCCCTGCCAGTGCAAATCACCCCGTTCTCACAGGGAAAGCCCTCTGAGGTGATGAAGTGTGGGCTCTCACAGCCCACCCAGCCCCAGTCCTTCCACTGCCAGCACCAGGAACGACAGAAGTGTCTGTGGGGCACAGACAGCTGCCGAGAGCAGCCAGGACAAAAGCACAGCCACCTCCCTGAGTGTTTCCAACCCACGCTCAGCCAAACTCGGTCTGCAGTCACAGCTGATCAGGCTGAAGCTGACACTGCAACCCAGAATGGGGCAAGGTTTATTCCTGATCCCCAGATTCCAGAAAAAAGCACATCCCCCAGAAGGACATGCAGCTGTAGCATTGCTGAAAATGTGCAGTGTTTCAGGGGTGAAAGGGCACTTGCTTTTGGGGCAGGGGTGCTCCCAGTCACACAAAGGTAGGTTTCAGATCGTCTTTGAAATTCACCACAGGCTGGGGCTCGCTGTGGTGCTCTGTCTGGTGGTCCATGCAGTCACTGGGCTCTGTGTCCGTGTCCGTGCTGCTGCTGTCCAGGGAGCCGCGTGGGCTCTGGAAGCAGACCTCGCAGCAGGGCCGGTGGCAGCCGTGAAACATCTCCTCAGAGCTGCTGCTGCTGCTGGAGTCAGAGTCTGGGTAATAGTATAGCGAGCACAAGGAAGGCTCAGCAGGTCCCCTTGGGGTGCCCTGCCATCGCCACTGCTCCTGTGGGATGCATGATGAAGCACCCTGGGACTCTGGCCATCCTAGCCACCCCTCTGGCTGAAGGCAGACCTCCCTAGGGATGGCTGGAGAGGACGGTGCTGGGGGGTGAAGGACTCCTCTGCCAGCCATCTCCCCTTCCCTTTCTAGGGAGACATGTGCCGACTCCCCATGGACCCAGCTGCCCACCTCCTTCCCGCTGTGGTTGGCACGAGGGGATGCACGTCCAGGGAAGTGGGTGGAGGCAGGGGGCAAAGGGATCCTCCGACGGCGCCTCGCCAGGTAAGGGCTGAGGGGTGTGTGGGCGCCTGGGTAGCCCTCCTGGCCCCCCCATGTTTCTCCCTGGTCACCTGGGGCGCCCAGGCCGCCAAGTGGGGCTCCTGCAGGTAAGGCTGGGCTGTAGTTTTTGCCGTCCAGGCTTAGCTCTTGCAAGATTTCCCACAGCTTCTCGCTGTTTACATAGCTGACTTTGGGGGATGACTCCCAGGCTACACCACCTGAGTTGTCCTGGCCTGGCAGCTGCTCCGGAGGCTGCCTCTGCTCTGCAGGTGTCCCACACTCCTGGACGTCTTTCAGGCCACGTTCACTGCTGCCCCCTGTGTTAAAAAGCAGCACCTGAGAGCAGACGGGTTCCTGTGTTGCATGTTCCTGGAGGGCCTGAGGATTGCTGCAAAGAGGCGGTGTACCCAGCGAGCAGGGAGGCTGCCACCCATCCCTCTCGGGATCCGGGGGGCAGCAGTCCCCCGAGGCATCCCCATGCCCCCCTGAGCTCCAGGTGCCGGGAGCTGCTGGCAAGGCACGGGGATTGCAGCCGCTCTCCGCAGACATCAGCCTCATCAGCTTCTCCTTGGCGCTGCTCACTTGCTCCTGCAGGCTTTCAATCACGGCATTTTTCTGTGTCAGACAAATGAGCCTGTCAGGCACGGGGCAGGCAGAGGGTATGAAAACACTGCCAGCTTGGAAGCTGGCATTGCTAGAAAACAAATTACCCCTCTCTGCATGGCAAGAGCCACACTGGCAGCATGTGTGACCTCACCCTCCCCTGAAGCCCCCCAGATGGGGGTGTGGGAAAGGGGTCACTGGGCAGGCAGCTCTCCAAGCTGGGGTTGCTTCCACCTATGCAGTGCAGGTGAGAGAACAGGAGGCTGGGGGCTTTTCTGAGACAGAGCATCTGCCCTCTAAATCAACCAGGTTTGACCAGGCTGTGGGAACCAGGCTCCCCTGCACTTCTCCCTACAGATCTTTTTTAAACCCTCCAGATTATGCCTAAATTTTGGTGCTTTGGAGTGCAGAGTGATGTGACAGAACAAAGCAGCTCTTCCTGTCAGGAAGGAAGAGGCTGGTGAGGGATCACCCGTGCAGACAGGGGTGTAAAAAAGGGCTTCCCACCCTGGAAAGCCTTCAGCCCACAAAAGGGAAGGAGAGAAGCTGGTGTGGTTGAGGGGGGCCTGGCAGTGCCCTGTACCTCAGTGAGCAGCCGCTTCATGGAGTTCTTCTCCCCTATCAGCTGGTAGAGCTGCTCCTCGCTGTACACCGAGCGGCAGCTCCTGCTTGGGCTGCTGAAATATTTTGCCATGTGGCTCACAGTTTGGCTTTCTTCTTCAAAGGCTTTCCACTGCTTGAGCTGGGGAGCAGAAGAGGATGTTATCTGCAGAGCCCCTGCCAACACAGCGGGAGGCAGGCACAGCTCAAGCGCGAAGGAGACAAAGGGACTTGAGAGGGGGAGACAAAGGCAGGGTGTGACGGGAGAGCAGAGACCAGTGGCAAGAGATGGCTGGGCGAGGGGCTGCAGTGTCACTTGGAGCCTCCCACCCATCTGAGCCCTACCTTGTGTCTGGCTGCAGCTTTTAATGCAGAGAAGTCAGAGCCTGTCTGCACTGAAACCTCTAAGCACACTGTAAAAGCCCCCTCCCTCTTCTCCCGCCTCCTGACTCCGTGACAGACAAAGACAGTGTCACGCATGCCCCCTTATCCCTGAATCAATGGTGACAGGCTGAAAACCAGTAACGCTTAGTACCTATTTTCTCATCTAGTGTCTGCATGGAAGCCTTGTGCAGCCCAGCTCCAGCTGCTTATTGATCTCGGGTGAGCAATAGAAAAGCAAGCCCATTAGGAAAAACAAGGTAATGAATTAAAAGATCCAAGTTAAATAAAATGTTCAAGGGCCCCAGGGTCCCACAGAAAAATGGTAGAGGCAGAGCACAAGCACAGTTCATCGGCTCCTCTGCCCCCAGTTAGAGAGACCTGGCACTCGGCAAAGCATCGCCAGCAGGTTTGGTGCTTGTCAGAGGGGGATTGGATCCTTGCTCCCAAAGGCTGCTCATCTAAGGGGTTAAGACTCTGCAGTTACACTGCCTCAACTGAGGTAGGAAGGGACCTCTGGAAATCATCTAGTCCAAACACCCCGCTCAAGCAAGGTCAGATGGAGCAACCTGCCTAGGATTGTGTCCAACTGGGCCTTGATTATATCCAAGTATGGACCCCTCTAGGCAACCTGCTGCAGCGCTTTATAACTTTCACAGAAAAAACCCAACCTTTTTCTCATGTTTAAATAGAATTTCCTGTGTTTTATTCTGTGCCCATTGTCCCCTGTCCTGTCAGTGGACACCACTGAGAAGAGCCTGACTCTCTCCCTTCCCTACTCCACCCCCATCGGTATTTATATACATTACCGAGATCCCCTGAGCCCTCCCCTGCACAGATGTGTTCTTTCTTCAGCTTCACCTCTTCCTCCCTTTCTCACCTCATGTCCTTGAGCCCAAACATCCCTTCAGACATTCAACTGAGTAAACAACTGTTTCCTCTCCCTGTAACAATGGGAGCATTATTCCCAACAACATGGTGGCCAGGCATACCAGGCTGCTCCTGGAGGACAGAGGAAGCAGAAGAGCCTCACCTCACCACAAAAGGCTTCCTCAGTCATGGCAAAGCCCAGCTTCCTTCTCTAAAAGCACAGAAGAGGACAGCCTCCCCCAGGGATCACCAGCAGCAGCAGAAAAGTCTCTGAGCCTGGCAAGGCCATGTGGATGGCCCGAGCCCAGCTCCATCCCTGCCATGGGCAGAAACTTTCTGTGGGAATGGGCATGTGAGGTATGAGGAGAGGACAAGTGCATGAAGGACCGATCCCGCCACCCACACGCAGGAGGAGAAGGACACCAGCGACTGCCTCGCCTCCACCTCTGCTCTCTGTGTGGCCACCAGCTGTGGCACATTCCTGCAGGAAGGTTCTGAGTAGCAGCTCTTCAACACACCTGCACTCCTTGGAAACCTTCCAGGATTTAAAGGGGGCCTACAATAAAGCTGGAAGTGGACTTTTTACAAGGACACATAGGGATAGGACAAGGGATAATGCATTTAAACTGAAAGAGGGTAGGTTTAAATTAGATAAAAGGGAGAAATTCTCTACTATGAGTGGTGAGACACTGGAACAGGTTGCCCAAGGAAGTTGTGGAGCTCCCATCTATGGAAGTGTTCAAGGCCAGGCTGGATGGGGCTTTGAGTAATGTGTCTAGTGGAAGGTTCCCTGCTCATAGCAGGGGTGTTCGAACTACATGATCTTTAAGGTCCCTTCCAGCACAAACCCTTCTGTGATTCTATGACACTCCAGGAATTTGCTTGGGGAAGCAGAGCCACGGGGGGGAGCTTGGAAAATGAGCTGTTCAGGTGAGCCCAAACATCTGGAGAAAAAAGCAGGAAAGTGCGTGCTTTGGTCCACAAGGCTGCTGTTGTTAAACTGTGAAAATGTGCCCCTTTCCAGCCAAGTGATGGGACAGAGGTGGAAGATACCTGTGGGACAAAGATGAAGCAGTTGATCGTGGTTGTACACACAAAGATTCCTCCAGAGGTAAAACCAAACAGCAAGTTGTGCCAAGTACGGAAGAAACGATGAACTAAGCAGATAGTGCCAGCAGCCAGGAAAACGAGGTTGACCCCAACGATGAGTGTCAAGGACTGGTTGACTGGTGAGGAGCTGACGTTGTCGGTCAGACCGGCCAAGTAGGTCCCGTACAGCAGGAGAATACTCTGGAAGCAGAAAAAAGAGGTTTCCAGAGTGTGGAAAATTACTGCCTGATGGTGTCAACCCCCACCTCAAACCAAGCCCGGTGAGCTCAGATACACTCAGCGCCATCCTAATTAATGCTCTTTGATCTATAATGCAGACCTTGAGCGCGCGCTGGTGACGCCGCAGCAAACGCCCGGCACGCTGCTGCGGGCCAGAACGGGGCTGGGGAGAGAGGCCAGGAGGGAAGGTGCCCGTGGGCACCAGGAGTCCCAGCCAAGCTGTGTGAGAAGATGAGGGTCAGGTCAGCAGGTGATGCCACGGAGCAGGGGATGGCCAGGAGAGATAAGACACAAAACCCGCTCCTTGGGCAGCTGGGAGCAGGAGAAGCAAAGACAGACAGACAGACAGGTCCCTGCAGGGATGCAGCAGTGGGGTGCCATCTAGGAGCAACGACATACCTCTGAAGGAGCAGGAAGGATGTTCAGAAGACATTCAAAAGAAAAAAGCAAGAAGAAATGGAGGTTTAGACTGGAGGGAAGAGGATGTACTTGGTGCCTCTTTAAATAGCAATCCAGGAAACTACCAGGTGCAATTCTTCTCCCTTCCCTTTGCTGTTTCCTGACTCCAGCAGAAGGGAAAGGCGCTAGAGAAGTGCCCGGTACACAGAGGAACTCCCCCCCCGAGCAGATCAGTTGTTTCAGAGCAGGCTGCCTCACCACACTGGCCCTCAAGTGTTCCCTAAATGTATCTTTCCAGAGTGCTCAGGATTAAACTATCCACTAGCATGAAGCCTTCCTTCTCTATGGGACACTAGCAGGAAACACCAAGTATTTTTTGCCCACCTCCATACTGCAGGGCATGGTCTGCCTTCAGGATCATTTGGAAATACCATCTAACAAAATGCCAGCACTTGCAACGACCCAGAATACAGAGAATATGATTTAAATTATTCCTGTGCTACCTAGTAAGTGTAACTGGGTCTGCCTTAGTTTACTAGGAGTCACTGTTACTTGGGCATCAAGAAGTGCTTTGTGACCTGAGTGCAGATGTTTTTTAGACCCTTCTGGACCCCTCTGTGCTATGGCTGCTTGATGATCATAATGACCACTGCCAGAGTTAAGGTCTGGAGGGACACAGGCAAGAGAGGTTCATGTCCTCAGTCTCTGGTGAGACTCGCAACTTCAGAGCACCACAAACTCTCAGGGTGGGGTTGTGATGGTGAGACCTGCCTGGCTGGGAACTAGGCAGACGCCTGACCCTGCTTTGTAGAATCTGCCCTAGACCATAACCACAGCCACCGTGGGGCACCTCCAAATGGCCCAAAGGCAAGTCAGCTTCTAATCCCTGCGCAAGAAAAAAATCCCAGCACCAAAGTCCCATTTAAATTCATACAGTCTATCTGGGACACAGACAGCAGCACTGCCGTCTAGTAAAGTAGGACTTTCAGTAGGCACAGGACTAAGTGGTTTGTTTGTTTGTTTGTTTTAATCTTGAGCAGAGAATTTTGCTCCTAATTCCAGGCGTGTCCTTGGCAAATCAGTTCTGTTCATTGCTCTGTTCCAGTAAAACCAGGATAATACACTGAGTGGCTTCCCAAAGGGCTAAGCACATTAATGCTCTGGATGCTAAGAAGTGCTACATACACACAGAAATAAAGCCTACTCTCACATTAGTGTAAATCCAAATTAACTCCAGAGAAAGTACTAAGGAAATAATTCCACAACCCCCAGTAAGTAGAAAGGAACAGGGTCAGATACAACGCAACACTAAAAAATATTACTTGGGACTGATAGTGGGGATGTTTTATTTCAGAAAGCATTTTGTAGGAGCTGTAGGCAAAGACATCACCTGTCTAAACCCTAACACAAGATTTTGCAAGACAAAATCAGAGGTGGAGACACAGCACTGAAAACCCAGGGAATACCTATTTTCAATACCAAAGGACTTCTAAGGACAAGCTACACCGATGCCTTTGAAATGTAGAGGGGAGAAGGACTTGGCTGTGTTGTAAGGTCCCTTTCTGCTCTTTTTCCTACAATTTTGGGTAGATGGTCAGTGAGTACTATATTACAGTGAATCACAAAGGAACTGCCTGTACTGCACAGAGATGAAGCCATTACCAAAGAAAGGCTGTGATCTCACCAGCTTTGTCAACATCAGCTTTCTGAAATGTGTCCAGCTTCTGCCATACCAGAGACACATGAGACCACAGATAATTACAGCAGTAATTACACCTACATAGTTACATCGGTACAACTAACACTTATGGAATAAGAACGGCCATGTGCAGAGCTCCACCAGTGAAAGTGCACCCCGGTGGTATAATTAGGCTGATAAACATCCTGTAAAGGTAAGGGAGCAAGCACTTGTCATCAGCACCTCCTTGGTTTGGAGTCAGAGGACTCAGGACTGAGCCACAGGGTGGACCACTGCACTGGACGGCCTTCTGAGGCTTTATGGAAAGAGTGTGCTTTAGAGAACAGCAAGACATGAGTTTTAAGTGAGATAGATCAGGCACAGGGGGTTTCAGGGAGAGAAATAGAGAGACTGTATGTGCACCATGTACAGAAAAGAGATAGTGAGGAAGGGGAAAAGTGGCTTACAGGGCTTTTACCCTTTCTAAGATGGGAAGGACTGGAAATAGCAGGGCTTTTGAGATGAACAGGAGTAGCTGGAATCTGCAATAGGCCTGTAGCTTGGGAGGGCAGCAAAACAACGAATGCTGCTGAACAGTTTATGTTGTAAGACAGAGAGTTATAATGCAAGAATCAATCAAGAGGTTACTTACCTTAAACCCTAAAATGAGAACGAGCCAAAGATCGGAATAGAGCGACGCGCAGGACTGCACCCGGCTCACGGAGCAGGTCATGCCTTTGTCTGTTGCCTGGAAAGCAAGGGAAAGACTGAAGTGAAGGCTGCAGCCCGGGCACAGACAGATAGGCAGACACATCTAAGCTGGTCTTCTCTGCAAACTTCTAAAAGGATAGGCCAAAGCTGGTGCTACCAGGGGCAGAGGGTTAAAGCAAGGAAGATTTTGGCATTCTGCTGCCAACAGGGCTGGTTAAACATTTCTCTAAAGCGTGTGATCTGCACAGACCTGGAAATTCTGCAGTGGACCCTCACCTCTGTAACAGGTTGAGCAAAAACCCAACCCAGAGTGACCAGAAATTTTTCTGACTTGTTTTTCTTTCTATTGTTTTTCAAACAGCACCTCCAAATGCCTGGCCATCCACCAACTTTCTCCACAGAGTTCAGAGAGAACACAGGAAAACCCTCCACCACCCCTCCTCATCCCTTTACCCGCAGTGAGACGCTGAGGCTTCGGAAGCACTGGACTGGATCGGCAAATACCCACGTCAGGAGCAACACGGCATCTGCCAGCACCAGCACTGCCACCATCGCCAGCAACTGGAGGTCTTTGATAATCTGCAAACACACCAGAAGTAAAAATTTACTCTGGAGAGGAAATGGACACCAATGACCTCCATCCCCTTGGGTCCCTTTCTGGTTGTTTCCTTCAAGCAACATGCCTATCCTACTACTTCCCCCAGAGGGGAATTCAGTGGCTCACCTACATTAGAGTTGGCCACAGGATCTCTGCCTCCATCTCCCATAGTCTTGGAGACCTAATCAGGCTTGGGGCCAAGCATAAACCCTCCCTGATGGTGTGGATAGCAGGTACATGCTGTGACAGAAAACAGTTCTTCCAAAACAATACTATCATCCCTTATGTCCAAATCACCAGCAGAGACAAAAAGGGTAGGCAAAAAAGCTGGTAGTATTATAATTTTGAAAGTTTAACACAGATCCTGGTGCCTCAGGAATGGGACTCCTTGCTGGTACCCAGCTCCCCTGCAAACCGTCTCATCTCACCTTTAATCTGACCTACCTTTTCACCACTGTAAAGTGGCCACTGAAAGCTCAAAGTTACATGCACTGTTACATGAACAAATTTCCCATTTCCCTCCCAGCTGCTGATTCGCCTTCTTTAAGTGCTGCAGAGGAGTGCCTAGTGCTCCCTCCCTCCCTTCAAGAGATCAGATGCATCTGGGGATGGCCCTGCATCAGATGCTTTTGAGGATACCTGGTTCATTTTCATCCCACAAAAACAATCAGCCCAGCCCAGGACACAAATACTGGCATGCAGTGTAATGATGGGATGTGGCTAATGTAAAATAAGCACAAGACCTTGCTCAGTGATGGGGCTGGGACTCCACTGGGGAACAGGCAGCCTGGCAGGGTACCTGCTTACCTGTGGAGTGCAAAATCTCTTGTCTCATTGCTCAGGAATAAACGGGGGGCCCGTGCACAGCTAGGTGTGAAACTAGACCTGTGATTGTGGCATCCACCCCTGTCATGTGCCAGCTTTTATCTGCTGTTCCACACTGGTTTGGGACTTGCTGGTGTTTGCCCTCCTAGGGAAGTTTTCCCCCCTCCCTTCCCTCCTCGGGTGCTGTGTACTCACCACCCGCTTGTCCGGCACCCTTTGGGTGAACACCTTGTAGAGCCTCCAGCTTTTCCCCAGGATGGGGCCAAACACCAGGGAGGAGCCCACGCACAGCAGGCAGAGCCGCACCTGCCAGGGGTCAGAGCGAGGAGGCTGAAAGTGGGGCTCGCAGGGACACCCCACCCCCTCCCACCCAGGGGTGCAATAAAGGTGGGTGGGGACATGTCTATGGTTTTCTGGCTTCTGGAGGGTCACATCAGACATTAGAAAGCTGACCATAGGGTGAAATGAATTAAAAAGCACATATTCCTCTGTAGGCATGTCTGCTGCCTGCCTTTTCCTCCCCATCCTGAGAGACTTTCACCAGAGGACCAGGCAGGGAGAGCTAGGCAGCTTGTGAGCAGCAGGGGCGCAGTAGGTCCCAGCACCAATAAATCACTTGCTGGCACCTCCATTAATTATCCCCAGCCCAGTGGCTGAGCAGGATGCAGGGTGTGCATTCTCCCACGTCCCACTCTCCCACATGGATGCATGCCCAGCCCTCGGTCTGGCAGGGCGGCTGCCTCAGGTCAGGACGTGGGGGTTCATCACACAGGGGAGTGTTTTGATGAGGATCTGCTCTGCAGCCAAAAAACTCACCTGCAACCTCACAGCACCTGTGCTACTTCGGGCAGCGGTGGCTCTGCAGAGCATCCCATCTCCCTTCAGGCTCCCCTTCCCTACTGCACTTCCACAAGCCCAGCAGCCTGCCTGCCTGTGGGATCTCTCCCCTGGAGACCTGCTTTGAGTCCCTTCCTTGGTGCAGATGTGGTTTGCACAAACACTGAGAGCCATTCAGACAGAAAATACCTGGTTGTGTTTTGCGCATGTGAAAGCCACAGCCCGGCCGAGTGCAGGCAGCAGCGAGGTGGTGACAGGCTGTGGCTAAGAGAGAGCACGTACAAACAGGCATGTACATGTGCATGTGTGATGGTACCCATCCCAGCAAACCCCCCACTCACCTGAATAAGCTTTTCCATGGAGTCTCCAGAAGGCAGGCTCTGCTCCTGAATCCCAAAGAGGTAAGCACTCGTGTAAGTCAAGCCACTGCCCAGCAGGGTCACAATGTTGAGATTGGGGCTGGACATCTTCACGATCCTCCAGGAAACAAAGCGGGGAAGGTGGTGATGGTTACTGAGCATCAAGACCTGGCAGCACAGGGGCGAGGTCCCCTTACAGGGGTGATGATGGCCATAAGGGATGCTGACACACTGTCCACCCTCCAGCCTCTGATGCTCACAGCTGCTCAAAAAGCTCAGCCATTGCTCCATGGTGTATAACCCATCCTCTTTGCTGCCTTGCTGGAGTGCATCACTATGCTTAAAGTACTCATTTCAGTCTACCCCAACACTTCTACTGTAGAGGGCCAGAAGTGGAAAACCACACCAGCGCACCACGTGGTGACTGTCCCCAGCTTTGGGTGTGACAGCTACGAGTGCCTCCAAGAACAGGCTCTTCCCACTGCTCCTTCCTCTGAGGGGATAGTTTCACACTCAGCATAGTCTCAACTTCAGGAAGCCGCCTGCAATGTTCAGCTTACAGCCTCCCCTCTGTAATTTCATCCCATCACTCATAATCCTGTAACTGTATTCAGGGAGGGGAGAATCAACCCACTGATCTCTCATGACCTGTCACCCTTCCCCAGCAAGCCCATCAAGCAAAAGCTGTAGCTCCTGCCATCCCCCTGCATAGTTCTGCCCCTTCAATCTGCTGCCAAGTCATTGCATTTCTCTACCCTTGAGCTCCTTCCTGGCTTGCTGCCTTGCAAGGGATTCAACCTGGCCCTTTCCCTCCCTGACTTCCTCACCATGCCTCAGCCCCTGGGGAAAGATATTCATCAGCTCACCCTCAGCTGCATGCTGAAAAAGGTCTCCTTTGCCCTCCCAGGTTCAGTAGGCAGACCAGTATTTATTTACTGCAGAGCAAATAAATAACGCACATTCATTACAGCATGCCCCGAGAATATCTTCAGGGGCCTAAATAATTTGGTAATCAATTAAGGTGGCCACACTACTCAGTAAATTAAGTGCTTCAGATTGGGATGCAGGTCATGCAGCTGCTGCAGTGCAGCAGGCACAGGGCTCACAACACAAACCCTTATGGGGCAGGGCCCTCCTGACTGCACAGTGCTTGTCAGAAGCATTAAGTTCCTTAATGCAACCAGAGAATCAGTTCAGGCTGCACACAGATGCATGTCTCTGTGCAAAAAACACTGGCACATAGAGACCGATGGCTTTGCCACGTGAATCTTGGGAGAGGGATATATCTCTGGGGGAAAAAGCAGTTGAGAGACCAACAGACCAATGAAGCTGAGGAGAAAGTGGTAAGGAGGCAGGCAAGACACTCAGAATTGCTGAGGAAGGGTCAGTGCTGGCTGAGACAGTTTGAGTTATCAGGAATTGTTGAGCCTTATGCTTGGATTTATGTTGCCTTCAGGGGAGCAGGAGATTTTACATCCTCTGTGCAGACTGAAAAGCATCAAGGAAAGTCTGCACTTTACAACCAGCGTCTCTCACCAGTGAAGACCATGTTCCCCACAAATATGGGCAACCACCAAGATCAAAAAGGGGTAGCAGTGTCTTCAAAGTATGAGTGGTGGAAGTGCACTGTGGGGGAGCATGATGGCTTTGCCATGGAGCTATGCTGCTCAGAGTGAGCAAGAGCAGAGCAGTCTCAAGAGCAGACCTGAGCAGAAAAGGAGACCTGCTCTCTTTCTGCTCACTCCTGTTGATGTTTTTATTGAATGGTACCTTTGGGATGAGACTGTGTACTGCTGTCTGTGCCACGCCAGAGGGCATCCACAGAATCATAGAATCATTAAGGTTGGAAAAGACCTCCAAGATCATCAAGACCAACCTTTGACCAAACACCACCATGTGAACTAAACCATAACACCAAGTGCCACATTCAGTCATTTCTTGAACACTCCCAGGGATGGTAACTCCACTACTTCCCTGGGCAGAGCATTCCAATGCTTGACAACCTTTCAGTGAAAAAATTCTTCCTGATGTCCAACCTGAACCTCCCCTGATGCAGCTTGAGGCCATTTCATCTTGTCCTGTCTACATCTTCCTGCCTTGGGGAGGAAGGGAGCAGTCCAAACAGGACTGTCTCCATCAGTGATCAATAGTGGATGTGACGGAGAAATGTGCAACAACCCTGGCATTGGCCTTGCTTGTCCTGTGGCGTTCCTTCAGGCTCATGCCTTCCTGACACTTAGCTGGTCATCAGCTCAGAGCCTGGTCCTGAAGGAGCCTCATTCCGTGGCTCCAGCTCAGGGAGATGGTCGCAGCACAAGAAGGAAGCCCTTACCTGTTTTTCCTGAAGCGAATTGTGAAGACAAGAAAGAAGAGCGCTAGCAGGACTCCTCCAGTCAGGAACGTCCACACAACTCCCAGGAGACCAGCAGAGAAGGATGGGAAGCTCTTCCCACTGTTGTCAAAAGATGTCTGCAGGAGGCAAAAGGGGTGAGGGAGAAGGGGATATTGCTGGGGCTTCCAGTGAAGGAGGTCCCTACTCTAGCATGATCACACCCATGGGTGCTCCTCCTCAGCCACAAACCACATCTCCTCAATAAGCACCCATCCAAGACCCGCAGGCAGGGCTGGTGAGATGTGTGTAGACAGGACATGTACTCTGCCACTTGCTGAGTGCGCAGGAGGAGAGGGCAGTCCAGGAGCCCTCTTCTTACGGTCAACTAGCCAAATGCGTAATGAAGCCATACGAGTGACTCACAGACCTCAGGCAGCCCTGGCTGTGGGAGAGAGGAACATGGGCAGTGGTTCCCCACTGTCCTTCTCTGGAAAGAAACCTCTGCAGAGAGGTGTCATGGTACCCCAGCTCACAGCACTCTTCTTTGGAAAGTTAGGTAGGGCATCCTTGGCTCCTGCCCTTACCCCTCCATGCAGCAGACAACTGACCAGCCGGCTGATGTGACTGGAAGCCAGCAGCAGAGCTGCCAGTCAGCGCAGAAAACGCAGAGAAGGGAGTGTGACAGCGTTTTTCAGAGGCGTTACGCAGTGACACACCGAGCTGGGCTCCACCCGACTCCAGCCGGCTGGAAACTAACTTGGTCCCGGGCAGACATCAGCTGAGAACTGGCTTTTGAGGGACACTCCCAAAGTGGGTATAATAGAGGCACCTCTCTCCTTGCACATAAGCAACGTTATAGGTTTAAATCTCCATTTAAAGTATTCTCTATCTCCCTATTAACATAAGATGGACAAAATAATCCTATGTGAAACAAGAAACCTTTCCACTGTGGGTCTAAAATGGTCCAGTATTTTTAACAGGGTGTGCAAGCCGGGGTTCGTTCACACATACTACGTGTGTGTTACAGACTTTTTTTTTCTTAAAAAAAACATCACTTTTACTAAGGTAAAAGTGGAAGGGAGGAGAATGGGGTTTGAGCTGGGATCATACACCTCCTCACTAACTTCTCTGGTGCTAAGTCCTTTCTCAGGTATTCCAGTTGACCTGCATGCAATTTCTATGGCAGAAAACTACTTTTCCTGACAGTTGCCACTGCCCCAAACTCCCAATTCTTTCTTCAAGGCCTGAGCTGTTTCTGCTTCCAGCCTTGCTAGAAATAAATCTTCAAGGAGAAGTAAGGCAATTGTTCAGAGCCAATGCCACATCTCCCTCTTCCCCAGCCAGGCTTTATCTCCTCTGGACAAGCAAGAACAAGGCACAGCTTGGAGAATTAAAGCCAACACATAATTCTTAAAGCAAAAATGTGTCACTGCCACACGAGCACAGCTGATCCATGGGCTCCTGGCAGCTCACATGCTGGTGCCATGCTGGTTGCAGGGCAACTGCATAAGGCAAACCCCTGGCTGGGAGAGACACCCAGCCGAGAGCCAGTGCTGCTGCTGGCTGCTGTGTGCTGGGATACAGCTGCATGCACACCTCAGCCTCGCTCTGCAGCAGTGTGCAGGGATCCCTGAGGGGATACTCATATCCCTCTTGCAAACTGCTTCCTACCTCCTCTTCCCTCTCTCTAACCCCTGGGGAGTCTTTTGGCTCCCTGGGAAACAAAGACTGTACCAGATGGTGAAGATGGTCAGCCACTCAGGGATCAGAAACACCCGTATGATCTGCACCTTTCCTTTCCCAAGGAACACACACCCTCCCACCTGGCTGCTGTTTCTCTGGATGTTGATGTTACTTGAAGTTGATGGAGCGCTTTGTTTGCCGCTGAGAGGAGTAAATCCTGGTCCTAGCAGGGGGAATATTAATTGTAAGGCAGCTGCCAGAGCCAGGGGAGCCAAGCAGCTTAGTCTTCTAATTAAAGGCTCATGGTCGTGCGGGACGTGATGGAGAGCCGAGCGGGCCAAGCCTCACTGGTCCATCCAGCAGCCTCACACAGTGCCAGCTGCAACTGAGTGCATCCCAGTGTCATTTCCACTGGCTTACTGGTGTGGGGGGGTACCATTTATTACACATAATGACTTTTAATTAAATCATGCCCTATTCATATTTGAAAAGCACTGTGAAGTTGCAGAGGACAGGAAAGGTCAAGGGCAGGTGGGGTCACGTCAGGCCAATCCTAGGCAGCTGTCACACCGGCCAACATACGGGGGGTGGCTTGACATGACTTGGCAGTTGTGGATGTTTCTTCACTTTCTGGCAACTGCGAGATGTCACCTGGACTGGGCTTGTCTTGGAGGCCAACCGGCATGCTGCCTTCAGCTAGACTGGGATTACTTGTCAGCTGCATCCCCCCCTTTCCATCTCTCCACCCAAATCCACTTTAGCAGAGCAAACCTCATGCCCCAGAGCACTTCCCTGCCTCCATACGTACCACTGTTACAGTGCAGAGCTCCTGCAGTGCCCGCTGCTGCTGGCTGTCAAAACTGGAGCTGCCATCGCAGAGCTCAGAGCAGTTGAATCCCGGCTCCATAGCACATCCTCAGCTGCTATCCAGCCGTACCTTCGCCACTACTGGAAGGACGAGCGTTGGCTTTCTCCAGCGAGAAGAAACCTCCGGCATACACCGTATCTCCTCCTGTCAGCAGGGTGTAGTGAGGGGGTCTGGCAGCCCGGGGCTGAGCTCACCCAAACTGATGTGGTGCACATCCAGCCCCAGGACAGGGAGTGCCCACCTCCCGGTGTCCCGTGGGGTGTCCTCTGCGGCGAGGCGAGTCAGCATGGAACCTGGGTTCCCACGCAGCACAGTGGCATCCCGAGCACTGCTACACCAGCCTGCAAAACAATACATGTTGAGGTCACAGGGACCCCCAGCCCCTACACCCCAGCTGTGGAGCTGAAACCAGGCACCATGCAGGTTCACGCCACCCAAACTTGCTGCAGCTTTCCTCTGCCAATGCATTTTCCCACACCAGTGCAATTTCAAGGGTGCATCTTAGCAGGTACCCTCCCTACGCTGGCAGCTACTGCCAGTTTCCTGGCATGTCCCCTTCTTCCAGCAAGGAACCAGAGGTGTAGACAACAACAAACGTGTAACAAGTGTCACCACTGTTTAATAGGATCTACACCCAGGTCTGGGCAAGCAACAGGGGAAGGCACTTGAACCAAAGCATTTTGGCTGACTCGGCCTGAGTGGCAGCCTGGCTAGCTGAAGAGCTGGTTGTTTATTAAGGAGATTTAGAAGACTGACACCTCCATGTTCCCCATCCCTCCTGGTGCTCTGGCTGCCAGGTATTGTCCCCGCCTGCTCCGGCTCCCTTTGCACCACCTTTGCCTCTGTTCCCCCTTTCATTTCTCTTTTTGGTGTGGATTTTAATAGGCCTCATTACCATTTTAGACATGAGGTCATACTTGTCCTCAAGCATCCTTACTCAATTACCATTGTCACCGGTTTTAATTAGCTTCCAGTGCACGACCATAAGCAAGTCTCCTGTCGTTAGCAGCTGGGGAGGAAGCGCGATAGCTCACTCCCTACTTGCTCCTCACAACAGGTGGGAGGAAAAAAATTATCCTTACCATGCTCCTCGGGACTGCTCCCTGGCCAAGCATCCCATGTGCCCAGCCAGTGCTCCATCCTTCCCTCTTCCTACTCCTGACACTTTGATTCCCTCTCCTCGTAAGTCCTTTCTTTGGAAAAACTTCTGTCATTATGTGAGTAAAGAAAGAGTAAATTAAACAGCACAGTCACCAGGACCTGGTCTGAAACTTGATGTTCGTCATGGGGAATAATCAGGATTCAAACACCAGAAAAGCTACAGGTGCTGTTCTCAGCTCAAGCATAGACTGATTTATCAGCTTTAGAGAAGTCACTTACAAGTCCCAGCCCAAACACATCAAGGTCAACAGGCTACTTGTCCCAGATTAGCAGAGCCACCTCCAAAGCAACAATCCCAACTTCCCCGCTGGAAGAAGCCCCGATGTACCACAAGTTCAGACACCATCCTGCCTGTCCCAGAACTGCCCCCTACACACACAGTATCACACATGAGCCAGACTTAGGACTTTACACACATGGTAGAGATGTTTTTCGAGAGTGCTGATGCAACCCAGCCCCATCAAGCCTGCCCCTCTCTAGCTTGTAGCAAACTGTGGTGGTGTTTCCCCTACAGCAGGATCACCCTGTAGGGGTTTTCATGCCCTCCATGGCTCAGGCTGAGTGACTGGACAAGGGGTATGGCTGCAGGAGACATCCAGCTGCTGCAATGGATGCCAGGACTGCAGGAGTGGTAAAGGGCAGTGGAGAGAAGGAGACAGGCTCCAGCTGAACAGTTCAAAGAGAACAATGGATAGTGTTGAGGGGCTGCATGCTGTGCCTGGGGGTGGCAGTAGGAGAGGGGCACTGAACCTTTGATGCCAAGAACACCTGAAGATGAGCGCTGCCCAGCCTCCAAAGGGCTCAGCTTCTCCCCATACCCTCAGGTGGGTTTAAAGACAGCCCCCACAATTCCTTGTAACCTTCTGCCACATCAGAGAGGGAATCCACCTGCCAGGCAGACCACTACCAAGGCTGGCACGAGGCCAGCAGGCACAGCCCTCCTGCGGCTCACAAATGGAGATGTTTCCACAAGGAGCATCAATTTAGCCCTCATCCACCCAGGAGGCCACCCCTCGCTGGAGGGCAAAAGCCCCTTGGAGTCTTCCCAACCCCCACCCCACCATTCTGCAAAAGGCTCACACACAAGGTTGATAACAAGCTGAGACCAATTAACGTTCATTAGTATGCAACAAAGCAAGCACTAGTGTGGTTGTCGCTGGAAGGCAACAGGCATTTCCAGCCCAGCTCCTGCCTCTCGTGAGAGCTGGCAGGAATGCTGCTCCGTGGCCTGGAGAGGATCCAAGGGGGACCGGTGCAGTGGGGAGTCACTGACCTTCAGGGTGAAGTTGGACAATGGCTGTGGGGGCAGACAACAACACAGGTGAAAACTCCCTTCCTTAAAACGTTAGAGTCTCTTTAGGGCAGAGACCTATGGCTCTTGGGGGTTTTATGAAGACCAAAGTGCCAACCAATTCTGATGGATCGCTTCCAGAGCACAATCAGAGAACAGTTTGGGTTGGCAGGGATCTGGCAGCTCTGCTTGCCCCCTTCTGCCCTCAGTCTCTGTGGCATTACACCTGCTGGCTGGCTGGGTCATAGTGGCCAGTACTTGGTCACAGCTGAGCATCAGCATGTGTGTGGATGTGATCCAACAAGCCTCAAGTCGGTAGGAAACAACATAGACCACATGAAAAATATCAGCACCATCATCTTCTAGCATAAAAAGGAACCCCTGACTGTTAAAACCAGTATTTGGATAAAAGCAATTTGCAGTCATCTCAGTGGTTGATCTTCAGGGCTGGAAAACCTGTTTCTTTCAGATCCGTCAAGACTCAGGATTACTTATCATATAATCATTAAGGATGGAAACGACCTCTAAGATCATCAAGTCCAACAATTAACCCAGACTGCCAAGCCCACCACTAAACCATGTGGTCCTTAAGCACCACATCTACACATTTTTTGAACATTTCCAGAGATGGATATAGAATCATAGAATCATTAAGGTTGGAAAAGGCCTTCAAGATTGAGTCCAACATCTACAAATGTTGAGAAACTGCAGATTAACCCAAAAATAGCCCTCAAAAAAGATGAGGTTGATGTAATCCAAATGCACATCTTGACTCTCCTAAAGTTTCTACTTCCCTTCAAAACCTTAGCTTTGAAAAAACAGAGGAAAAAAAACTCTGAAGAAGCTGAAAAATTGGTGCAGCATGTACAGACCCAGAGCAGAACAACCTTTTCACCCTAACTGGTTCCTTTTGATCTAGTGTTGATAGAGAGACTTTTTACCAAAGAACAAGGCGACATCACTGCTCAGTGAATCAAAAAGTAAAAAACTGAAGACGTAAAATCACAGACAGCAGAACAAATGCATTCAGAAACGTGCATGAAATGGTTTTCATGAGCCCTGCAATCCCGTCCAGTCATCTCAGCCCCAACAGAGAAATGGTACATGTGCATCTCTGCAAGGAAAGAGCAGAGAACATCTGGAGAAGCACGTCTATTGAGGAGAACTTCTTGGGAAGGTGGCTGTGTGGCCAGCTGGAACCCACAGCTTTGCTGTGCGCCAAAGGCAGGGAAGAACAACCAGGGGGAAGGAGCGATGTGCAGAGGGCAAAGCCATTCCTGCCGCCTCAGGTGGGCAGCAAAAGATTTTGGCTTTTACCCATGACGGGTCTGTGCTGCTACTGCCACTGCTAGTGGGAGATGGTGATCTGGTGGTGGGGACCAGCCCCAGCTAGAACAGGACACAAGGCTACACACTTACAGTGGCAAGTCATGCGGATAACTGTCCCAGCGAGATAAACACCACGGGATGGGGTTTTGCAATTCAGAAAACACTGGCACTTCCGAGACAGGCTCCTGCTTTTCCCTTCTGCACTTCTTGTCCAACAAGATCCCTTCTTGTTTGACCTGAGAAACCTGCAATATTGCCAACCCCAAGGCGATCAAAAAAGTCACAAGCTAGACTCACTGCAACACCTCCCGCAATGAAGCTAGTTAAAAATCGGGAGTTAAAACACACAGCATATCTAAAGATTATTTTTAATTTATATTTAAAATGTCAGCATTTACATCTTCACACTTTCCCCTGCAAACACAAAAGAAAAAATAAAGAAAACCAAGAAATCCTGCTTATCATGTCATCCTAAAATGTGGGTTACAAAGCCTCAATACCCAGGAATTGTCACCCTTCTTCTCAGGGACCATCCTGTGCACTTGCTCTACCCTGCTTTTGTCCCTGGGATTTCCAGAGCCACCTCCAGGCCTCTCAGATCCCTTCACACCCGGCAGATGGAAGCTAGCTCAGTGCACAGGCACATGTCGGGGTACATCACGGGGCCCAACGGGGTCATCTTCCCACCCAGACAGTGTCCCTGCTTTGCTGTCACTTCCTGACCCACACCCAGGGTATGGGTGATAACCACGAGGAGCTGCAGGACCTGCTGCATGCAAAGGAGGGAAATGCAGGACAAGGTGCTTCTCTCTCCAGATGCATGAGGAGCTCACTGTGTGATTCTGAAACACAAAAGTTTGTGCTGACTGAAGCTAGCTGTGATTCTGAAGTCTCCTAGCAGAGATAGGATAGCACATTTTTGGATAGCACATCTCAAGATCACGAAGGCAATGATTTCTGTACGCCAATCTTACCAATCATCCCAACACTGTATGTCTGTCCACTGTGGGTCCCTTAGCTTGGGAGGATTGCACAAGGCTGGCACATTTATCTCTGTCTTTATCCTCTGACTTTTTTAATGCAGGTTAAATACCCACATGGCTCTTTTCAGTTCTGTGGTTTATGTTTTGAATTTAAAGAAACCTCCATTAAAAAAAAAAAATCATTACTTTTTGAACCACCATGCAGTCCTGTGAGGAGCTGACACACACTTCTCCCTCTGAGGAGCTGATAAGGCTTTTAACTCTCTAACCATAATTGCTATGCAATGATAGGCATGTGAGAATAGACTGGACATGCTCAAAGGAAGGAAAACTGGGAGAGAATACCAAGAGACATGGGGAGTGCGCCACAGATGAGATCAGTATGACCACAGCTGATGGGAAGGTAAGACAAATCCCTGGAGCTGCTGATGAGCAACTTTGCGCCACCCAAAGAGCAAAGCCCATCCTTGTGTCCAGCTGTAAGAGTGGCTGAGCAGCACATGGATGAAGTGAGCGTGAACCTCTAGGCTTCTGCCTCCCCAGTGTGTCTGGGAGCCCAGGGGTTTGGACCCCACTGCCCATCGTGCTGAGCTCATCCCTGTGTGGCCAGGTGGCCTGGCAGGGCTCCCTACATAGAGCCCAGTGACCACGGGAGACTGCCAGAAAGCTCCTTCCAAAAGATTTTACGCCACTGGTACCCCCCGGTGGAAGCTCACCTTTCTGCAGTCAGTGAGAGAAGCAGCGGGATGGATCTCTGCTGCAGGACAGCAGCCTCGCCACTTGGGCTAAGGCGGGTGCAGCCACATCCCCGGGGCAGGGGATGTGCCCCAAGCACTGCTCTGAGAAGCTGCAGTGCTGCTCCCATGCCCTTCCCATGCCCAAGTCTCTGCCCCGGGCTGGAGGCTGGGGTGCATAATGCCCCAGCAGCTGTGCTGCATGAACAATGAGGACAAACAGAGGTTTTTCACCACCTTGGGCAAAATCTTGGCTTTTCATTACTCCATAACTACTTCATCAATCATTTAATTTATTAGTGGGAGACCACACCTGTAGGTGCTGTTCTGTCTCTATGGGACAACCTCCCCAAGCTCCGGGCCAGGAAGATCCCCTTCCCAAGCACTAGGCATGTGGCAGATGACCTGAAAGTGGGGTGGCAGGGGCTGCCTCTCCAGAAAGGCTGCCATTTTTACTCTGAACCGTACCTTCATCATGAAGAGAAAGAAATGGCCAGGACCAGCTGCAAGAACAAACTGCGTGGCCCTCAGAAAGACGGCTCCTGCCTGCCACACTGCCAGGCACAGCTAAAGAGAAGAAATGTTGGAGGTGTACACAAATCCCCAAGCATCTGCTTCGCAGTTTGCCATCGCTGCAGCCCTGGTAGTTGCTGCAAGGCAAGCAGAAAGCCCCCATCTATGGGGCTGGTCAATCCTGAATCCCTGCCAGGGGATCACACCCGCATCACACTTACCCACCGGGACACTGATTCAAGGCACTGTAACAGTGTCCTGGTGCACCACTGACAGGTCTCACAGCCTAGGATCTCTTCCCATCCTCATTGCCTCTGTTGCCTTTATGGTCCTCCCCTGCTTCCATCCACCTGCATACACGGCTTCTTTCATAAAACTGCCTTTCCCCAGGCCATTCCCATCAAATGCTGCTCCTTTGTGTTTGGTGCATGTGCCCCAGTACGCTGCTCCAAGACACACACAGCCCCAAGCACTGCTGCCGGTGGCTCCAACATTCCTTGCTCCCATCAGCTCCCTCTGCCTTTGGGGTGTTCACAGCAGCTCAACAAACGGCAGCATGCTAAGCAGCTTTACGGGAAGGTGTAGCCTGCAATTTTTTTTTCCTCTTAACTGTACCATCTTTAGAGAGCCACCATGAAAAAGAGGTAAAAAAGCCTGATGATTTAGTACTTTGATTTACAAGACAGATCTGCCTTGTGGTTGAGGTGTGTATGACTTAATTAAAAAGCAGAGGCTCACCGCCACTGAAGCTGTTCACTGCCGAGCTATCAAATGTAGAGGGGGAAGAGGCCTCAGAAGGAATATTTTCATAAAGTAATGTTTCAGATTAAGCATATGCCTTCAAGAGCTCTCCCTTTCCAAAGCTGGTAGAAAGCTACAGCTGCTCCTTCGTGCAATCACATGCCATCTCCTCACAGCCTTCACAGCACCAGCACACCTGTGTTTTCACAAACAGGGTTAGGATGGCCAGGTTGCAAAGCTGGACAGCCCCAAGCATGGGGACAGCTGCTAGTCCTTACAAGATCTGCATGTTTTTTCTCTGTTTGTTTTTTTTTTCCTTTTAAATTTGGCAGGATTTTGGAAATCAAGTGACATATTTAGTCCTTAAAGAGGCAGTAAAACGGAGCACTACAGCTCTTTCGCCTTACCCCTGCTGACCAAGCAGCAGGGAGTATTTTCCCCAGGAGACAGATTTGACTTAAGGCTCTGAAAGCCAGAGATGTCCACTGCTCATCTGGCTCACCTCCCAGGTACTGCAGGCTGCCAAACTGCACCCAGTGGTCCCCTGCTCAGGCTTCTCATCTCTTTGCTGGGCAAAACAAGCACCTCATCAGGGGGCAGGGCCACATCAAGGTTTCCACGAGGTCTGCCAGCCAGGACCCCCTGCAGACAGCGGTGAGGCTTGCTCAGGGGTGGAGAGGTGCAGCTCCAGAATTGGGGGCACACCCAAACCTATCTGGAAAGTGCTACTCGTAAACTGTGTCAGCACAGGGGTCTGCAATAAGAGAGGCATATGCAATGCCCCGGCACCAGGCGAGTGAGGCTATGTGGCAGCTATATCAAGGATGCATCAGAAACGCCAGCTGCAACTCAACACTGGCAGCTCCCGGTTACCAGGGATCCGGTTCCCCTGGCTTCCTTCCTGCCCCTCTCAGGCTGCAGAGCACCTGTGGGGAAGTGGAAAATCCAGGTCTGGGTTGGGGCTCCATGAGCCGCCCCCCCCGAGAGGTGACCAAGCCCTTGGGAGCTGCGTGATGCCCAGCTCTGGCAGCCAAGGAGAAGCAAACGTGCTGGATCCTGGAGTGTTTCCCGGGGTTCTCTTCCTGCTAGCAAGCAGGGGCAGCATCGTCAATCCAGTACAGAAAGGGCACACGGGTCCCTCTCGCTCCCCCTCTCTTACCCAGTAGGTTGTCGCAGTGTAGAGTTTGGTTGCAACCAATCAGCTCCGCAAGGCACACAGTTCGCTCAGGTAGCAGCAGTTTGGTTTACTATAAACTAACCCAGCGCTGCAGCTTCAAATTTTTGCATCCTGCAAGGCAGCTCTTTCCCATCGCGAGGTGTCGGCAGGCTCCCGTTCCCACAGCCGACTTCTGCGGCGTGCTTGGAGCCTTCGGGACGGTATTTTCTGGAGAGCTACAAAACACCGTTCCATGCCCGCCCCGTTTCAAGCTCAGGGATGCACTCCGAGCACGGCCAAGCAAGCGAAGGGCGAACGAGGAGCGCTCCATCTCCCAAGTGCGTCCCCAGACCGCGGCCTCCCTGTCCCCGGCGGGAGCACTCGGGGGGCTGCCAGCCCTTCCCCGCGGGCTCTCCGAAGTGGGGATCTCGCCAGGCTGCACCCACGCCACCCGGCATCCTGTGGGGAAAGCGACGAGGGGAGCAGAAACACACCAAAGCGAAGAGCGCCGGGGCAGGAAAGCAACTCGGGGGGTAAACGGGGCGCTCTCGTCTCAGCCATCCTGCTCGCAGCCCCCAACCACCGCTGCCAGTCCCCTTCTCCCCAGCCCCCTCTTCCCAACCCCGGACCCCCGACCCACCTGCGGGGACGGCACCCGGGCGCGGGATGCAAACCTGCGGGGCTGGAGCAGCCCCGCCGCAGCCGCCGGGGACGCGGAGCTCCTCGCCAGCCCCGCAGCGCCCCGGCCCGGCCCGGCGGGGGCGGGAGGGGCCGGGCCAGCCGCGCTCCTCCCGCCGGGGCGGTGGGGCCGGCCCCTCTCCCGCCGGACGCAACTTTTGGGCAGTGGGGAAAAACGCGGGGGCCCAGGCTGTCCTGGCGGGGCTGGACCCCCCTTGACGCCGGCGCCTCCTACAGATAACCGCAGCATCAAACCCTCCCCAAAACAACCCCCGTGTCGGAGCCGACGAGAGCGGGACCTCCCGGCACAGCCCACCCGCCTGGCCTCGGCTGACCTGACCCCGCCGCCGCAGCCCATCAGCCCCGCGGTCCCACGGCTGTGCCCATCTCCTGTTCCTGCCGGCGGGATGCGCCCGGCTGGGAACGGGCCGCCTCGCTCGGGCGCTCCTGTCAGCTGAGGCAGCACAAAAACCCCGCGTCTGTGGCAAAACCGGCCCGAGAAGTGAGTAAACGCGAGGGCGGCCAACCTCGTGCTCCGTGACCTGCTTGTGCCGCCCCATGGCTAGTGGTAGCCAGCGTGACTACTGCAATAGGTATGTCTGTGAGAGCAGCAGTCAGTGTCATATGGACAGACCCACCGCCTCCCTCAGCATCCCCGTACCGACCGTTTCCTCTCCTGCCTCCCACGGCCCTGATGCAAGCATCAGCTTCGTGCTCTCTCCTCACAGGACATCCACTCAATTTTACCGGATTTTCCCTCCCAACTCGTAAAGCCAAAAGCTCTGCTGCAGCACCAAAGTTTCTCTCCCAAGCTGCAGCAAAGTGCCAGGTGCTACTAGAAGGGCCTGTTTGCAGACAGGTGCAAGGCTGTGCAGGTCTTCTCTCTTCATACACTTCTGTTTATCTCATTATGTGACTCTGGCATTATCAGTGCTAATTTTTCACTTCTGCCCATTCCCAAACATGCAGAGCCACAAGCCAGACACAACCTTGGTCTGAACAGGAGCAAAGAGGTTTGCACAGCCCCGTTAGGCACAGCTGTGCCACATAATGCTGTCATAAACAAACTGAAACCTGTTAGATCCCAAGCCCAGTAAAAGCATTCAGTTTGAGGCCACCGGTTCTGGCAGCAGCTCCCACTGCCCTTTACTAGGTTTGACTGACATCCCAGATGAGAAGTTGCAATTGGACCTCTCTACTCCCTTTTCCCATCCTATTCTGAGGCAAAACAGAAGGATGTACCCTTGCCCAGGGAGTCTAACACACCACTTTCCAGAAAATGTTTTCTAGCCTGGACAGTTGTGGGCAATGAAGGCTCAGCCCTGGATCTTGAGCTGCTGATGGGCCAGAGGGTCATGTCCAAAGCAGGTGAAGGAGGTAGGAGCCTTGTTACTGCCACATACAAAGGAGAATGAAAAAGCCCCTTGGAGATCAAGGTCCAGCCCTGGTGGCCAGATCTAAAAGCTGGAGACCCATGGATTAATTCTGAATTTTGGCACTGAAAGCAGCACCTCAACTTACAGAGGTGCAGACTATCTGCAGCTC